TAAAACTAAATTTAAGCGTGTGCTAATTGATCCAGGTAGCTCGGCCAACATCATTAGATTGAAGGTCATAGAACAACTCGGTTTACAGGACCAGGTCGTACCTGCAACCCTGGTTCTAAACGGATTCAATACGGCATGTAAAACCACCAAAGGTGAGATAGTTCTACAGACAAACGTGGCTGGGACCATCCAAGAAACAAAGTTCCACGTAATCGAAGGCGACATGAGGTACAACGCCCTTTTTGGAAGGCCATGGATCCACAACATGAGAGTTGTACCTTCGACCCTACACCAGGTCCTTAAATTCCCAACATCGGGAGGAGTCAAAATAGTGTACGGAGAACAACCGGCCGCAAGAGAAATGTTCGCCGTCGAGGAAGGGAATCCAATATCCTCGCCTTCGCCAGTAAAGGGATCGGGCTCAAAAGTGGAACGAGATACCAAATAGCAATCACAGACATCGGCTTTAACCCGACCAGATAATCAGAAGATCGAAGAAGATGATGATCAGAGGATTCCTCGATCCTTCGTGATTCCCGATGATTCCGACGCTACCAAATCAACGATTGAGGAATTGGAGCAAGTCACACTAATCGAGCACTGGCCCGAACGGAAGGTATACCTGGGAACGGGGTTGACCCTCGAACTCAGGAAAAAACTTATTCAATTTCTTATCTATAACATTGATTGCTTTGCTTGGTCCCATTTAGATATAACAGGGATCTCATCGGACATAACGATGCATCAGCTAATCTTGGACCCTAGGTTTAGACCGGTGAAGAAAAAGAGAAGACCCCAGTCTGAGGTTAAACACGCATTCATAAAGGACGAAGTAACCAAACTTCTCAAGATAGGGTCCATTCGGGAGGTGAAATATCCCGAATGATTAGCCAATGTAGTTGTAGTGCCTAAAAGGGCACAAACTTAGAATGTGTGTAGATTATAAGGATTTGAACAAAGCATGCCCCAAATATTCCTTTCGCTGCCCAACATCGATCGCATGATCGATGCCACGGCCGGCCACGAGATCCTTACTTTTCTCGATGCCTATTCCGGGTATAATCAAATCCAGATGAACCCGGAAGACCAGGAAAAGACTTCATTTGTCACCAAATATGAAACATATTGTTATAATGTGATACCCTTTAGGGCTAAAAAATGCAGTAGCTACTTACCAACATCTAGTAAATAAAATGTTCGAAGAATAAATAGTTAATTCGATGGAAGTTTATATTGATGACATGCTAGTTAAGTTCCTGCGCGGAGAGGACCATTTGACCCATTTGCAGGAAACATTCGAGAATTTAAGAAAATACAACATGAAGTTCAACCCCGAGAAACGTGCTTTCGGGGTCAGTTCGGACAAGTTCCTCGGCTTCATGGTGTCAAATCGGGGGATCGAGATTAACCCCGATAAAATCAAGGCCATCGAAGACATCACCATCGTGGACAGCGTGAAATCCGTACAGAGGCTAACGGGACAGATTGCAGCTTTGGGCCGATTCATTTCGAGATCGTCAGATCAAAGTCACAAATTTTTCTCTCTACTCAAAAAGAAGAATGATTTCGCTTGGACCCCGGAATGCCAACAGGCATTAGAGGAATTAAAACGATATCTATCGAGCCCACCACTACCTCATACTCCAAAAATAGACAAAAAACTTTGCTTGTACTTGGCAGTGTCAGAGATCGCGGTAAGCGGTGTCCTAGTTCGAGAAGAGCAAGGTACGCAATTTCCCATTTATTATATAAGTCGGACCTTAGGAGAAGCAGAAACTAGATATCTGCACCTAGAAGAATTGGCACTTGCACTGATAAGCGCCTCTAGGAAGCTAAGACCATACTTTCAATGTCACCCCATATGTGTATTAACCACTTACCCGCTTCGTAATATTTTGCACAAGCCCGAACTATCAGGCCGATTGGCCAAATGGGCTCAGTGGGTACGATATCGAATATCAACCCCGTACGACCATCAAGTCTCAAATTTTAGCAGCCTTCGTGGCCGATTTCATGCCAACCCTTGTACCCGAAGTCGAAAAAGAACTCTTATTGAAATCGGGTACGTCATTGGGGGTATGGACCCTTTTTATGGACGGGGCTTCGAACGTGAAGGGGTTCGGGCTAGGCATCATTTTAAAGCCACCCACGGGTAACACTATTAGGCAATCTATCAAAACTACCAGGTTGAATAACAACGAGGCCGAGTATGAGGCCATGATTGCAGGTCTCGAGCTAGCTAAAAGATTGGGAGCAGAAGTCATTGAAGCCAAGTGTGATTCTTTGCTAGTGGTAAATCAAGTAAACAAAATCTTTGAAGTTCGAGAAGATAGAATGCAAAGGTATTTGGACAAACTATAGGTCACTTTGAGCCATTTCAAAGAATGGACTTTATAGTATGTTCCACGAGAGCAAAACAGTGAGGCTGATGCACTTGCGAATTTGGGATCATCGGTCGAGGAAGGTGAGTTAAGCTTGGGGACTGTCGTTTGACTCATGAGATCCGTGGTCGAAGGTCATGCCGAGATAAATTCTATGAGCTTAACCTGGGATTGGAGAAATAAGTATATTGAATACTTAAAGAATGGAAAGCTCCCATCGGACCCTAAAGATTCGAGGGCCCTACGAACCAAAGCTGCTCAATTCACGTTAACTACAGACGGAATGCTATACCGAATGACATTCGATGGGCCATTGGCACTATGCTTAGGTTCGGGAGACACCGATTACATCCTACGTAAGGTGCACGAGGGTACTTGTGGGAATCACTCCGGTGCCGATTCATTAGTCCGAAAAGTAATCAGGGAAGGATATTATTGGATCGATATGGGCAAAGATGCAAAGGAGTTTGTTCGAAAATGTGATAAATGTCAAAGGTTTGCACCAATGATCCATCAACCCGGAGAGCAACTTCACTCAGTCCTATCCCCATGGCCATTCATGAAATGGGGAATGGATATCGTCGGCTCTCTGCCATCGACCCCAGGTAAAGCTAAATTCATTTTATTTATGACCGACTATTTCTCTAAATGGGTTGAAGCACAGGCTTTCGCAAAAGTAAGAGAGAAAGAGGTTATAGACTTTATCTGGGATCATATCGTATGTTGATTCGGGATACTCGCCAAAATAGTGTGTGACAATATGAAATAATTTGTTGGCAGCAAAGTGACGAAATTCCTCGAAGATCACAAAATAAAGAGGATATTATCAACATCGTATCACCACAGTGGGAACGGACAAGCCGAATCAACAAACAAAACTATCATTCAAAACCTAAAGAAGATGCCGAACTACGCTAAAGGAAAATGGAGAGAAATCCTACCCGAAGTTCTTTGGGCATATCGAACAACATCAAAATCTAGTATGGGGGCGACCCTGTTCTCCTTAGTATATGGCTCCAAAGCCTTGATTCCAGTCGAAGTTGGGGAACCCAGTGCCAGGTTTTGGTATACAACAGAAGAGTCAAATAACGAGGCTATGAACACTAACCTCGAATTATCGGATGAAAAATGAGAAGTTGCTCTCATCCAATTGGCCGCCCAAAAGTAGCGAATCGAAAGATACTATAATCAAAGAACCAAGCTTCGCCATTTTAAAATTGGGGACTTAGTACCCGAAATCCAAATGAAGGAAAACTAGGACCGAACTGGGAAGTACCGTATCAGGTTCTCGAAAACGTCGGAAAAGGATCATACAAGCTCGGTATTATAAACGACAAACAACTATCAAGCAATTGGAATGTGTCGCACCTAAAACGATACTACTGCTAAGGTACGATCCTCCCATATTCATTTACATTTCGAAACTAACCCCTGCAGGAGTCCGATCAGGAGCTAGGATGGATCCTTCAACACGAAGCCCTAGGTCTGAATGCACGCGTTGCACTCTTTTTCCTTTAGACTAGTTTTATCCCAAATGGTTTTTCGGCAAGGTTTTTAATGTGGAAACCAATGAGCGTGCTAAACTTAGAAACAATTCGACAGTATCCGATGCCTCTTTACAATCAACCTCGAATACTGGGGGGCATTAGCCCTCAAATATATCAAGTTCTGATGCAAGAAAGTTATTTCATAACATTATAGTTCCAATAGGAGAAGCTCTAAAAGTCAAATGGTCAAAACGAACCATGCTCATGTAATTGGCCTGAGCCCTGACGCAAAACATGAAAACATGTATAATGACTTGCAAAGAAAGTTCTCTTCTTTACCGATATCTTATATCCAAGAAAAGTTCCTCTATTTCGAGATTTATTATGCAAACAGGATTGAGTTCGAGCAAGCACTCACTCGATCATCACGCCTACGGGCTACATTACTTCGAGTTCGAATCATTCACTCGACTACTAAGCCTACAGGCTACTTCTATTTCGAGTTCTAGCAAGCACTCACCCGATCATTACGCCTATGGGCTACATTACTTCGAGTTCGAATCATTCACTCGACTACTAAGCCTACAGGCTACTTCTATTTCGAGTTCTAGCAAGCACTCACCCGATCATTACGCCTATGGGCTACATTACTTCGAGTTCGAATCATTCACTCGACTACTAAACCTACGGGCTACTTTTATTTCTAGTTCGAGCAAGTATTCACTCGACCATTATGCCTATGGGCTACGTTACTTCGAGTTCGAATCATTCACTCGACTACTAAACTTACGAGCTATTTTTATTTCAAGTTCAAGCAAGCACTCACTCGATCATTATGCCTACGGGATATATTACTTCAAGTTCGAATCACTCACCCAACTAATAAGCCTAAGGGCTACATAACTTCAAGTTTGAGTAAGCCTATGTTCAAACAATCACTCAACTCGACTACTAAGCATATGAGCTACCTTATTTCAAGTTTGAGTAAGGGCTCACTCGGTTATAAAGGCTACTAAGTCCAAACTTAATTAAGTTGCCTAAATCCTTGTAAAAATATTCATAAGACGTGAATAAAATCTTCACAAGACAGGAAACAAAATAGAAGCAAGTCTGCAAAAAGGGATATTTTTTTATTTATACAAATTTTTTTACATGATTGATTACAACATAAAAATTAAGGACTAAGCTTCCTGGTTATCCCCAGGAGCGGTCTCTTCTCTATCGGGCTCCCCCCCGTTCTTAGACCTGCTCTTACTCCCATCATTATCATTATCATCATCGTCGTCATCGGAAACCAAGGTTTCAGCATCGGCTTCGAGTTCTTTGGCCCTTTTTATCTCTTTAGGGAGGTCGAAACCTCGATCATGGATCTCCTCGAGGTTCTCCCTCCAAGATCGGCACTTAGTAAGTTCAGTGACCCAATGTGCTCAAGTATCGGCGGTCTTGGCTGACTCTCTTGCTTGGAACTGGGCAGCTTCAGCATCTGCCCGATAGACGGCCACGAGTGCATCCGCATCGGCCTTTACGTTTTCGGCGTCAGATTCGGCCTTAGCAAGTTCAAAGGCCAACCAAACCTCGAGCTCCTCTATTCTTCTTGCTTTGACCAAGATTTTCTCCTTCATTTTCTGAAGTTGGTTTTCGGCCGATGAAAATTGGGCTCGAGCAGTTTCTTTCTCTGTAGCAAAGTGGTCCATTCCTTCTTTCCACTTAAAAGACTCCACTCTTATCTCATCGACTTCTTCACGGAGTTTCCCGATCATCTCGATTTTCTGCTGCAGCTATGAGACCAAACAATTAGCCATCGTTCCGGTATCAAGCCCATAGGCTTTTAAAAGTATCATTACCTGCTCGGACAGATCGGTTTGATCTTGGTGAGCCTTGGCCAACTCAACTCGGAGGTCTTTTATTTCCTCTGCCCTTTTCCCTAAGAGGAGTTTAAGGGAGTTCCTCTCCTCAGTAACCCGTTGAAGTTAAGCCTCATATCGACGTAGCTCGGCTCGGGACCGAGAACATGCTTGTCGATGAGCTGCCTCGGCCTGCAAAAAAAGAAGAAATTAAGTTAGAAAAGAAAAGAGAACATTAAAGTAATACCAACAAAATAATTTAAGGCTTACCTGATTCATAGCCCGCTGCACCCCGTGAAAAAGGTCTGATGCGCCACTTGTACCGGCAACGTCCTCGACACCGGTAAACAGGTCACAAAAATAATCCTCTCCATCATGAGGCCTATCTAGTTCGAGGGCCCCCAAAGCTTGGGCTTCCCGAATCGCCCCTGCGGAAAAACCAGTGATGGTGGGCGAGTCCTTGATTGCTACTGCCCCAAGTGAATCACTTGCAGCATTCTCTTCGGTTCGAAGAGATTCGAGGAGAGCCCCTTTAGAGATATCCTCCATCTATTGGCTTCGATGGGAAGCATCTTCGATCTCCAACAACTCGGGGACTGTGCCCGAATCCTTAACCGATATATCCTCAGTTCTAAGCGGAGCCTTATGAACCTCCATTGATCCAGTTGCCTGTGGAACATCAGTGGTCTTCTTCGTCCGGGCCGCCAGTGCAGACTAATCATTTTCTTCTTCTTCGTCTCCATCCCTTAGACGCATAACTGATTCTATGGTCAAAGGAATGGTATTCTTGCTCGGCTTACGAGCCGTCCTCTTCTTCGGTTTTGGATTTTCAGGAACGGAGGCTCTTTTCCTCTTATTATCTTTCACCATCTTTGGGACAGAGGCCGAAGCCTCTTCCATGATGGACGAGGGTCTCAAAACCGCATCTTTGCCCACACATACATATGGAAAATTTTTATTAAAGTATATGGAAAGCGTCTCGTTCGAACTACCGAAAGGTACGAGAAAGGGGCTTACCGTGATTTTTGCCTCCCATCGGCCCTTTAACAAATCGCGCCATGAGCGCTCGGAGTATGTGGAGGTCGAAGCCAAAGCTCGTACCCAGTTCTTGAGATCGAGAATTGCTCCGGGCATCCAGGGAACCGTTGCATCACAGAAAGAGGAATATCGGTGAGAAAAGAAATGAAAGGGCAAAATGGGAGGAAGTAACAGCGGAATCACACTTACGTTTCATATTCCACTCCTAGGGAAAAGGCATCTTTTCAGTCGGAATCAGGTCCGATGTCCTTACTCGAATGAACCTGACCATTCAGCCTCGATCCATGTCCTCATCAATGCTTGAGAACAGATCCTTGGTAGCCCGACGTTGAAGTTTTATTAACCCTCCTCGAAAAAGGCAAGGATGGTACAATCGGATGATGTGGTCGAGGGTGAACGGCATACCCTCAATTTTGTTGACAAAGTACCGAATCAAAATAACGATTTGCCAAAAAGAAGGATGGACCTAACCTAGGGTTATTTGGTATTGACGACAGAAGTCAATAATAACAGAATCGAGGGGACCTAACATGAAAGGGTAAGTATACATACTTAAAAACTCTTTCACGCAAGTGGTGATATCTTCGTCAGAAGAAGGGATTATTATTTCTTTACCCTCCCAATTGCAATCGTTTTTCAGCTGTTTGAGGTGCCTCTCGGTCATCGAACACATGTACATCGATACTGGCTCACATCGGACAAGAACCGATGAGCCTTTATCGACCTTAAAATAGGAGGTAAGAACACACGCCCCAGGAACGCGCTCCTTAGGCCGTGGCTCTACCGGTGTTTCATCGGTGGCAGGTTGTGAAGATGAAGCTTTCTGTTTCTGAGGAATAGTTTGTGATGTTTTCGCCATTTTCGAATTTGAAGGTCAAGAATAGAAGAAAATGACAAAGATTTGGTAATTTTGAAGAAGGGCTTTTGCAAAGAGGAATCACAGATTGGCGAACAAACTCAAGAGGGTATGAAAAACAACTTGGGAAATTTGAAAGATTGAAGATGTAAAAGTGGTAAATGATAAAAGGCAGGGCTATTTATAGGTTAAAGCAATGGCGGTTCATTATCAGCGGTGGCCGACCATCGTCTGTCATGCATTAAATGCCTTGAAAAACTAAATCGATGGGACAGCTATCACGTGCGTTATGGTCGAGCCCAATGTAAACATCAGCTTATAATCCGATCGAGCCGTTGAAAAATCATATCGTTTCTCACCATATCTTTCTCGAGAAATGAAGGGACTATCTGTATACGGTCGAAATAGATTTCGGCATTCGTACGATTGATCGAGGTCAAAATATAATGGTTCGAAGTAAGACTTCGAGATGGGTTCCGAAGATGGTATAAACAAGCTTCGAGCCCGAGGTACCGATCAATGTCGAGCTCGATATCAATATCAAGCTCGAATCCAAGTCGAACTATGATGCAAAGTAAAGTTATCGAGCTTATGATTCAGAGACCGACCAACATTGACCCAGAATCAATTCAAGGATCCAAGTCAGAATCGGGCTCAAGTCAAGATCGAGAGCTCGAGTCAATATCGAGCTCATAGACAAGAGCCGTTGCAATCCCACTAGAGGAGAGAATCTTGGCATGAATTATGAAAAAACTGATTTAACATGGGTCTCCCACTATGTATTTTTAATTATATCTAAAGTAAGACCCCTCTACTATAAAGGGCATGGTTATTATTTCTGTAAGGACCAAGGTTTTACTTACATTGTAATTCAAGCACCATATTCTTCCATACTCAAAAAATATTCTTTTAAGCTTCATTAATTGATCCATTGTGCTGAGTCCTAAAAATCATTTTCTATCTTGTTTATATCGCATTCTTTACAATCCATATTCGATATTTCTATTTGTCCCTACGGTTTGTATCAAGTTATATCATATATCCTTAGAACTACGTACAAATTCAACTCTATCCGTTTTTCGGATAAACAAAATAAAAAGAGAAAGAAAAGCCATTCCATTTCGACAAAAGACCCACACCCAAGTTCCATAGCTTTTGGTTCGCTATCCCGATCATATTTTACCAAGAAGACACAGAATTATATAAGAGGAGGGACAAAATAAAAATAAGTACTAAGCCAAAATAACAACACTTATTTTTGTCGAAAACCACATAAAATTTTCAAGAAGTAGAGATCTTTATCTTGTATTTCATTGGTGCATATGAGAACTGAGAATCCAAAAGATACGTAGTAAAATTATCACAATTTCTTTCCCATGGATGCTCACATAAGTCATGAAATTTGCCAACAAATTTAACTGAAAACTTGCAAAATATATGAATATATAAATAAAGTAGAAGACAATATCAAATGCTCCAAATGTAACTGATACAAGCTTTTGCCTTCTTCGGTTATACTGTAACGTATATGCATTTAAAGTCTTGTAATAACAAAGAACTTAATGAAAAACATTTAAATATAGAAACTAAAAGAGTGTCGTTTGTATTTCAACAAATATTTTAAGGGGAAATTAAGAGGAAAATGTCAAAATATTGACAAAAAAGATAAATACCAAAGCTAGCTATAGAGAGGTGCCACATTACCTTGTGTATTCCTAACTTTATATA